ACATATTTAAATAAAAAATAAAAAATTTATCATTTTATTTAAATTTATTATCTTATTTAGAAATCGATAAAATTCATATTTTAAAATAAAAAATTAACAAATTTCGTATTTTCATCTATACATTTTCTCAATAAATCGCACAATAGATATCCTTAAATAAATAAAAGATAAACTTCATGTATTCATTTACACATTTCTCTACTAATTGCACAATGAATTATGTGGCTAGGCCTCGCCACGTAATTCGCTAAGACTTGTATTTTTAGAAGGAAAAAATTTTATATTGTAAATTTATTATATGATTGTACGTGGGATCTACCTGTATAATCTTTTATATATATATATATATATATTTATTTAATAATATGTTATAATTTTAAATTTATTTTTTTTAATAATTTATTAGTAATATTGTATACATCGACTTATTTATGTCATGTTTTGATATTAAATCTACTTTTTATTTAAAAATTTATTTATAATATTATATATATACATATTCAATAAAATATTATAATTATAATTTTACAATCTTATGTATCCTTTTAAATATATTATTACTGAATTTCTTTTTAAAAAATGCAAATAATTAACAAAATACAAATCAGTGGACTACGTGGCAAGCCACGTAATTCGCTGTGTATTCGCAGTATAATGCTAATGTGGATGCTAAGTAGGCTAAAAACTGCTATGAACCATTTAATTTTCTATCTCATTTCCAAGTAATATTCAAAATTAACAAAAATAAATTCTTGGATGAAAAAATTGTCCATATCAGCATTTAATTAATGTAAGGGAGAAACCACAATGGGGTAATTAAGTGATTAAAAACTTGTGGTTTTAAGTTGAAGATTTCAAGTTTGAATCTTGAATCGGGTGAGAAGAGATTTGAGAACAGAAGAGGACCATCCTCTCTTGTATAGTTCATCATCAGATGTACAAAAAAAAAAATGTAAGGGAGAAATTAGTACTGAAAAATTGAAGTTCAATGACCATTTTGGTAATTTTGAAGTTCAAGGACCAACTTGGTCCCAAATTCAAAGTTCAGGAACCAAAATAGTAATTTAACCAATTCAAAATTAAAAAGCACAATTATTTTAAATGGAGAGAATACCAAAAATTAGAGGGGCGCAATGTGTACTGGTATGGATTTTAGCATTTTAAAATCAAATTAATTTAATTGGTTAGTTAATTTTTAAATCAATTTAATTTATTATTATATTATAATTAAATCAATTCGATTTAGATTGGATTTGTGTATTTGATTAAATTAATTAATTTTTAATATTATTTTAAATATATTTAATTAAATAAAAAACTTTAAGAATTAAATTGTAAAAGGTATAAGTATAAAATACACTAACATCATAAATAACATAATAATAGTACTAATAGAGTAATTAAGGCATGTAAACTCAAATTGTTGTAGTTTAAGAGGATAGAGAGTTTTAAAAGCAAAACTTTTGTTTGTATAACAGCCAATGTAGGGTCGCACTATTTTTTTTTTTTAAATGGACAGCCGTATTATTTTTTGATTAAGTTTATTGTATAAAATAAAAAATAATAACTGATATAATTAATATTATAGTACAATAATTAAAAAATATTATATTATAGAAAATTGAAAAAGAAAAGTATAACAAAGGAAAAAAATTTAAATCAATTTGTTATTTTTATTTTGTCAAAAAATTCAAAAAATATATTTATTAAAAAATAAAAAAAATAAAAAAATTACATTAATTAATTAATTTATTTATTTTATAATAAAAAACTATTGTTAGTTTGAAAATAAAATTACAAATCAAACTAACTATATTAATTTTATAAAAAAAATTGAATTGAATCAATTAGTTTTCAGACGTATCAATGGATTTAGATTGGATATCATCACCCTTACCAAAAATAGGGAATGCATTGAGTAATTAAGGTCATTACATGCTCGATACTAACTTCTAACCAATGTTTCTTTGTCAAAAAAAAAAAAAAAGGAGGTCATTACATGCTTTTCCACGAACAAATCTTCAACTTGAAAATACATCTCATATGTACGAAACAACCGAACATCTTTAACCATTGCCCTGTAAAACTGCATAATCAACTGGAGCTGTATGGAGGACATACTCTCAGTCGTTTAATCGAACACTTGGCATGCATTTTAAAAAGACAACAATCTTCTAATACCTCATCTTCAGACCAAAAAAATCATGGGATTCTAACAATCAGTACGTGAACAAATAATAACAAACACTTCATCCGTTTCACCAAGAAGTAAGTATTACTGCCATGGCAGAAAAATTCCACAAGTTCAATTAAATAGTTCTAGCAAATTCACATGATAAATAAACAACCTGGCTCTGTTTAAACCCTAAAAATTGCAGGTTTAAGCTGTTCACACAAGAATACACAACTCAATCCATAACATAGATCTGACATGTCTGGGTACAAATCACCATTTTACATAGATCGTCATAAAATAGATGAACCACAAAAAAAAAAAAAAGAGCACAAAAAGCAATTGCAAATAACTTCCATCCCAGAAGATTTCACTGAAACAAATTTATGGAAATTGCACTAAATAGAGAAAGAAGATTAGAACAATGAAAGCTTAGAACAATGGATTGGGAAATCTCTGCTTTCCCAGCCACTCAGGTAAAGTAATTACGGTAAGACTTAGCCGTACTGTTGAACACCATGAAACACATCACTCCACAAACTTAATTTCTACTTTGAGATGATATGTTGTTGATCCCCTTGGATCTTGCCTCCATTTGTATTCATGATTTCATTTCTAACATAAAAACAAAGAAAGTGAAAGGAAAGACCATTAGCTTTGCATAAGTTAATATATCTTTCTCAATTTCTTAAATTAATTTCAGTGCAAAACTCCAAAGACGGACACATGAGAGGAACTCACAGAGGAAGAAGAAAACTTCAAGTCCTGTTCTATGATGATTGACGCATTGCTGCCCATGCTTTCTTTGACCTCCTTCACAAAATCCTCCTCCATATTTGTCAAAACCAAGTCCTTCAGAGTGGTCAACTTCTCCAATCCACTAGGTTTATTTAGTTTCATGCAACACCTGATCTCAACTTCTTCTAAGGCGGGCATGGCTCCTTCCTCCACCCTCCATTCCTTCAGCTCCACTAGCTTCCACAATTTTAAGACTTGAAGCTGAGGCAGAATGCCAGGATGACATGTCATTGTTTCCCCAATGTAGGAACCACCATACAGCCTAAGGATCTTCAGGTTCACCAGTCTTTGTAGTTCTTCCATTGGGTCCTTTAACAGTTTTGACGCTGACAAAGTAAGGATCTCTAGATTTGGGGGAAATGCTCCAAAATCAAATGTCTTAGGAAGTTGTCCAAACAAATACAACTGAGATAGCTCAACAAGACATCTGAAGTCGGCTAATTTGAGTGGTGAAGATTCGCCACTTCTTTTTATTGACCCCAACTTCAATGATCGAAGTTTCCTCAATTGAGAAATCCAGCGAACTATCTCTTCAGTGAATTCTTCATAGCATTTTACTCCCAGTTTTCTAAGACCACTCATCACTGTTGCATTCAAATAAGCTACAGAACTCTTATTGTGGATCATCAGACCTGATAAAGTCAGCAGATTAGTTAATGATCCATGAGTGTTTGGTGCCTTTGAGATAGATCCATCAACTTCAAGAAAAATGTCGTCCAAGTAAAGATGTTGAAGATTTTTTGCCTTCCAAAGGTTAACAGGCAAAGTGCTTATATCAGTATGCTTCACGTCCAAAGTCTGAAGGCAAGGCAAGTCACCAACTGAATCTGGAATCCTGTCCAAAAAAGTCCATCTTAAACCCAAATACTTGAGGTTCGGCAATTTGCTTAGATGTTTGGGTAGCACTGGTTGGTAGACAGTTTCTAAATCAAGTATGACAAGTAACCCAAAAGCTGCCTTAATAATATCCTTGAGAAATATTTCTACTCCAAATGCAGGGAAATTGTTTACAGTTACAGGGAAAGAAATGTAAGAACGCAAGAAAGAGCTACAATTTGGAAGGCTGCCACTGCTGATCTCTCCATAGTCTACAAGCCTTCGGAAAAACTTGGCTGTGTTGGAGGATTCTTGGGCCCCTTTGGAGTGAATGCCAAAGAATCCAACTCTCATTGCTCTTTGAGATAATGCATCATATACATTACTTCGCATAAAAATGGTTTTCGGGCTCCCATCTAACTTCCGTTTTTCTACCTCAATCATGTTTCTCCTTTCTAGTTCTGCAAGGTATTTCCACAACTGTGCTTCAGAACTTCCAGAGTTTTCAGTTTTTTGATCATTTTCAGTCCTTTCTTCAGTTGACTGGTTCAACAGTCCATCAGCAACCAATAGCAAAAACAACCTCCTAAAAGGGACCCTGTATGATTTCGGAAAGAGACCTAAATAGTTAAGACACAACTTTAAACCGGTATCTAGGTGCTGATAGCCTAAAGCCAAGATAATTGGGAGTGTTTCATCTGAGGTATCTGATTGATCTTGGTCAAAATAAGTAGTCTCAGTCACCAATGTCCTGTCTTCTTTTTTCTTGGTATCTGATAAAGCCAATTGATTTGAAGAACTTTCCTGACCTTCATTAGTTGCTATATGCTTCACCTCTACTTCTTGCTTCTTATCTAAACAAGACTGTTGAACTGAGAAGTTTGGTTGAGCTTCACTGGGACTCACTTCCTCAATCTCCCCTATACCATCTTTCTCTTCTAGCTTGGTATCTGATGAAGCATCTGGAGCCAAAGAATTTGGTTGATCTGCTAAAGAATTCTTATTGTCATCTTGAGATGCCAAAGCATGCATCTTTTTCTTTTCATTTTCTTGCTTCGTATGTAAGGAAGCTGGTTGGTCTAAGGACCTTTCAGTTACCCCCTTTTTTCTTTCTCTCTTATTGACTTGCTCAATGACTCCAGACCATTTCTTAATGTCTAGGGGCATGGTAGACAGCAAACCTCCAAGTACAACGATATCAAAAGGCAGGCCGCCACATCTTTGCAAAATTTTATCTTTGAGAGTTATCAATCCAGCATGATCTACAACTCCTGGTACCTTCATTTTGAACAATTCCCAACTTTCATCATCATTTAGCAAACGTAGTTGCAGAACTCCGGTATGTGGATTAATATGGCGAGCTACATGAGCTTCACGAATAGTGAGTATCACCTTGCTCCCATTTGATGAATCTGGAGAGGCAAGACCAAGTTTTGATGAATCTGAAGAGACAAGACCGAGTTCCCTCCAAACATCAGCTGTAGGGACATCATCTAAAACTATTAGGTATCTTTTCCAAGTCAAGTAAATTCGAAGCCTTTGTAGCAAGTCCTCTTTGGACCAGCTCTCATCCTTCTGCAGCATTCCCAGCTGCATTGCTAAGTCAGCCAAGAGTTTTCTTATCTCAAACACTTGAGAAACAGAAACAAAAGCTCGGCAGTCAAAATGTTGCTTAACTGCTAAGCTGTTGTAAAATGCCTTGACTAGAGCTGTCTTACCAGAGCCTGCCACACCCACAACTGAAATGAGAAAATGCAATGGGTGACTGTTAAGTACCACTTCAGCTAATTCTTTCAATTTATCATCCAGTCCAACAATGTCCGACACATTGGCCACAATATCAGAAAGTCTTCCCCAACTATGCTTAACTTTTGGATTACAAACCTTCCCACGTAACAACTCTTTTCCACAGACTGTCCCAAAGATCCAAGAATTGGTTTGCTGAGCCACATCACCTTCATGGATGGTTAGAATCACCCGGCTACCATTCATCAAATTGGGAAGGGAAAGCTTGAGCTTGTCCCAAACATTAGCCGTCCAGACATCATATAAAACTATAAGGTACCTCTTCTGAGCTAGGAAATTACAAAGCTTCAATCGTAGGGGCTCTGGGTTCAGCTCGTCTTCCTGCTCGTTATCTGTAACTTGTTTCAAAATCTCAGCTAGAAGATCACTTTCTTTAAACTCCTCTGAAACACGAACCCAGGCACGGCATTGGAAAAGCTGCTTAACATCTTCTGCATTGTACATTGCCCACAAC